ACTCCTGGGGGTTTATTTACTAAAGCTGGAGAGTCCAAAATCAGACTCCCTTCTGCATAGAAACCAATCGGCTTCTAACCTCAGCTTGTTCAATGAAGCTTTGGCAATGAAACCTGGAAGCTGATTGGTTTCTATGCAGAAGGGAGTCTGATTTAGTAAATCCCCTGGTGTCACACTATAATCAACTAATTAACGCAAAAACACCTGTAAAAGGTTCCCTGAGCCTTTTAAATGGTCTATCTGATTCAGTAGGTTACACAATCATGGGGAAGACTGTTGACTTGACAGTTGTCCAGAAGACAGTCAATGACGCTCTCCAGGGGGATAAGTCATAAAAGGTCATTGCTAAAGAAGCTGGCTGTTCAGAGTGCTGTATCCAAGGGTGTGGAAATTTTTGAAAAAACTACTTGTCCAGGGATTAAATTGGTGCCCCAATCTGCTTGTCCCTTATGACAATCTACTTGTCCAGATTAAAAACAAAACATTTGAACTAAAACCATATTTAAATTGGAGGTGCTTTTTAGGAATGTCTTGGGCTTTATGGCGACTTAAAAGTGTAATAATTTTAACATTGCGCTGTCTATCTCCTCCTCCCCTCCCTGCCTCTCTCCAACACCACACCCAGGAACTAGCAGGGAGGGGAGACACCTTGCAGTGTAATGAGCACCAATTGGGTGCTTGTCAGAAAGGGGAGTGTCCAGCCTATCCTTTATCCTTTCGTTGCCAGAGCGTTTTTTTTTTTTTTTTTTTTTTTTTTTTTTTGCACACATTTAAAAATGTATTTTAGGCCTGAAGATTACACAAAACCCCCAAACATTATATATTTTCTGAAAGCCGACATCCTAGAGAATAAAATGGCGGTAGTTCCAAATTTTTATGATATTACCACAAAATTTCTCTAAAAACAAGTTTAATTTTAGGGCACAGAAAAGGAATAAATTACAATTTTTTTTGTAAATGGATACCCAACACATCAAAACTTAAATTTGCATGCGCTCGTGAAATGGCAACGAACTTCAGTACCCCATATTTTCTATAGGTGACACTTTTAAAGCCCCTTTTATAGGTCATCAATATAGTGTTACGGAGGAGGTCTCATGCTAGAATTATTGCTCTTATTCTGGCATGCGTGGCAATATGTAACGTGTATCGCAATCAACATTTTCATGCTTAGGTGCCTCAGTGTGTGCTTTTAAGTTTTGTACGTGTGTGTGTATATGTGGGGGGGGGGGGGCCTCATTGTGTGCCAGCTGCCGCCCGAATGCTTCCACCTGACAGGTGAGCCCTGCTGTTTGCCCACAGCGGGGCTGAAGGATAAAAAAAAGACACATGTCCCGGGCGTCGGGCGATATAAATTCAACACCCCTGAATCGCCACTCTTGGAAAACGTTCATTCTATTGTTTGTGTAGAAAAAAAATTTATCATGTACATACCTCAACTATTTCAATTAACATTCCAATCTTCTGGCTTTAAGAAACACTTAACCTCCACTAGGGTCTGATTATGTCAGGATTTCTGTGCTCAAAGCGGTAAATTTTTTTTTTTTTTTTTTTTTTTTTTTTTTTTTTTTTTTTTTTTTTTTTGTATGGAAATGTTTTTTTTTTTTTTTTATTGTAGGTAGGCCTGTAATTCTTAGGAGTAACTCGCTGAAATCTGTCCCAACAAGAGTCTAGTAAACATCCCGGGTATGATAAAATTTGAAACCCGAAATCATAAATTATAATATAATCATAAAAAAATACATTTAATTCAATAATGTAATCAAACCAAAAAGACTGAAATTTGAAGTGTTTTCTAATTTACTATCACTGTTCTCTAGCTGGTCTAAATCCGCTTTTGACCTAAAGGGACGCTTTTTGGACACCATGGACATTTCTCAGTTTCCAGGCAGAAAGAACAGTAAAAATTCAGGCAGGGCACAGGACAAAGCACTAGGGACAAAATGTATGTGAAATGGTTTGATACAGTAATGTAATACTATCAGATTTTAGTGTATTGAGTGTCACATTTTTACATTTTTGAATTTCCCGCTGGTTCCGTCCCCCATACGTCCCGACTCTAGCAGGCTAGCAGGGAACGGAAGACGGATGCCGGCATCGGCCGGAGGACATGGCCGGGGACGCTGCAGGGGGGACATCGTGGGAGTGCAGGACAAGGTAAGTGCTGGAGGGATCCCTGAGCAATGCTGCAGGGTAATCCCGAGTGTAGCTCGGGGTTACCGCTCTCGGAACTGAGCTGCACTTGGGAATACCGCAGGGGGGGGGGGGGGGGGGGGGGGGGGGGGGGGAGTTAAAGGAAAAAAAAAAGAACTGTAGTCAGCTTCAACTGTTTTTGCAGATCAAGCAGAGGGGAAAAAATATGGAATCACTCCACTCCATTCTGAGGAAAATACGGAATCCTGAAAAAAAAAAAAAAAAAACTACTACTTGTTGCAACACCTATGGCTTTTATAACGGCTTGAATTCTCTGAGGCATGGATTTAACTATCAACAAACCGTATTCATCAGTCTGGCTTCAACTTTCTCTTATTGCAGTTGCCAGATCAGCTTTGCAGGTTGGATCCTTGTCATGGACCATTTTCTTTAATTTCCACAACAGAATTGTACTATTTGCAGGACATGCCATTGACATTGTCTTTCTTGAAGGAAAGTTTTCACAGTTTTTGCCCTATGGCAAGATGCATTATCCTGAAAAATGATGTTGTCATAACCAAACATCCTTTTGAACTGATGGAATTAAGTGTCCAAAATCTCAAAAAAAAAAAAAAAAAAGGTACAGGGGAGATGGCAGATCTTCAATAAATGCACAAATTTATTTTATCTGACATATCGTCAATGATTGTGGAAATTTGCATGTTTTCTTCAGCCAGTTGTCTTTATACATTTCATTGAAACAACACCAAACCGTTCCAGTATCATCACCCTGCGCAATGCAGGTTCATGATTCATCAATGAATATCGCTGTCATCCACGGTCCATGATTGCTTTTCTTTGGCCCACTGTAACCTTGTCTTTTTCTGTTTTAGGTGTTAATGATGATGGTTTTTTTTGTTTGTCTTTTCTGTATGTAAATCCTGTTTCCTTTAGGCGATGTCTTACAGTTTGGTCACAGACATTGACTCCAGTTTCTGCCCATTTGTGCCTCATTTGTTTTGTTGTGCATTTTCTGTTTTCAAGGCATATTGCTTTTAGATTTTATATCTTGACGCTTTGTCTTCCTTTTCCTACCAGTACGCTCCCTTTTTTACAACCTTCCCATTTGATTTGTACTTGGTTGTTCCCAGTCAGCAGTGTCTAAAATCTGGACCAACATCTTTTGCAACATTCTGTGATTTACTTTCTTGAAGTCTTATAATCCTCTCTGTTTCAACGGGCATCTCTCGTTTTGGAGCCATTTTTTTTTTTTTTTTTTTTTTTTTTTTTTTTTTAACTGCAGACTAATTAGCAGATGTAGTCTGATGAAGATGTTTGTTTTAGAACTGCAAAGTACATGGTGATTCCAGAATATTTTCCTCAGAATTGAGTGATTCCATTTTTTTTTTTTTTTTTTTTTTCCTCCTGCTTGATCTGCAGAAAGTTGAAAGTGACTACAGTTGTCTTTTTTTTTTTTTTTTTTTTGAAGTGTTTCTTAAAACCAGAAGGTTGGAATGCTAAATTAAAATAGTTTGAGGCATGTCCATGATTGTGTGTGGTGTGGTTTTTTTTTGGTTTGGTTTTTTTTCTATTCAATTTAAACAATTGAATGAACATGAGTGGTGATTCTATACATTTTGCCAGGCGTACAAAAGTGTAGTAACAAACGGTTTCAACACTGCTTTAAGGCCTAGTTCACACAAACGCAGTTTTATTGCTTTTTGCAGAAACGCACTACAGTCCATTCAACATGTTCACAGCTATGCGTTTTTCATGCTCTGTGTTTTTGGAAAGGGTCAGAGACTTTTTTTTTTTTTTTTTTTTAAACTCCAAAAAGCAGTGTTTTTGCTACAATAGAGTTCAATGGAGACACTGCTGAAATGCGTAAAGCATTTTTGCCACGTTTTACGTTTTATTTTACCCAGCAACAAAAATATTTCACCTTTTACAAAAAAAAAAACAAAACTGAAAAAAAAAACCCCGAAACGCGTGTGTAAACGCAAAGCAGGATGCATTGCAAAAATAGTTTAACGCAAACTGCATTGGTATGAATAAGGCATTAGGCTGCCCATACCTTATGCAATTTTCTTGTACAATTTTTTTTTCTTTAGTTTGACCTCTATATGTTTTTTTTGGTAAATCTAAACACTTGTATCCAATTAGACGGGCCTTTGCACTTAATGGTTGAAGGTAAATCTAAAGGAAATGGTACAGAAAATTGTAAATGGTATGGCCAGCTTTATAAGTAGAGCGTGTAAGTAAGCAACCAAAGGTGGGACACCTGTAGGAATTGTTAGCATTTGCTTTCAAGGCTTAATTCATTTACATTGCTGTAGAACAGCTGTGTGTTGTTAAGACATTGCTACTTCTCTGAAAAATGTCTTTTGCACATTATGTACAAAATAATGTACATTTTATTTATTTATTTTTTCACATCTCTGGTAGTTTACTGCTTACCTTTTTGTACCATTTCAGGCTATTTTACTTGACTTTAATTGTTTTACATTTCACTAAAACTAGAAAAAATGTGTTCTAAAATTTTTGAACAGTACTGCATATACAGAGGGCCCTGTTTAAGAAAGCAGCAAGATGTATGCACTGGTTAGTATGTTCCCTGCTGAGAACACTATATTGGAAACTGCAGGCTACATGTGCAGACCTGCATGTGTGGGATATTCTACATGAATATATCATGCAACCACCAACATGGCAAGAATGTAACTTTATTTGTCTCCCTTTACATTTTTTTGTAGCCACCTTTACTCTTTTGGTTTATAAATTATCTCTAGGACATTGTGCTGTTTTTATCATCCCAGTATGAATTTACAGCCTTTGTTTTTACCATGTTCCTTCTGTTTGTTCTGCAGATTAAGCGATCCTCTATCAGGAAGGGCATGGTAATGGTTTCACCACGCCTTAACCCTCAAGCATCTTGGGAGTTTGAAGCTGAGATCTTGGTGCTGCATCACCCTACAACAATCAGTCCACGATACCAGGCGATGGGTAATTTAATACCCCGTTTTTATTTAGGGGTTATGGCTTATTAAGGTTGGAACACTCAATATGTCATGGGCAGAGCCTTGACATTGTATTAAAGTGTATTTCATCCTTTACTTTTAAATTTGCAAAACACTCACTATAGGTTTGTGTTTACAATCACACAGCATACCTAAAAATAATTTTAATAAATATTATTCACCTTTCCACTTGTTTGGAGCAGGTTTTTATATAGGACTCTATAAGCAGCTTCTATTCAGAATAGCTTGCGATTTACGCAAAAGAGGAAGAAAATTGGATCCGTGCGAAAGCAATCTTTAAAGTGCAGTACCATTCAAGTACTTGCCCAAGCCTTGATCTTTAACCCTTTGTTAGGGCAGACAGTGTTCACATCCAGTTTACAACTGATCTGTCAGCACAGTACAGAAGGGGATAATTATGGTAAACCTAACTCCCCAGCTTTCATAGCATTCCTCTTCTTTTTCTATGCAAGTATAAAGAAGCCCAATTTTTTTTTTTTTTCTTAAGTTATGCTATGTGAATGAGAACTTGAACAATTGAGTACTGTCAGTGATACTTTTTTTTTTTTTTTTTTTTTTTTATTTGCACCAACATCCAAAATTTCAGGACAAGTTCTTGGGGTGTATCCCCCTTTTTTCAAGGCCCAAGCAGCGCTCATTGTACTGCTTGAACCTTGAAGAGGGCACACCCTGAAAGCTTGTCCCTAAAATTTGGATGTTAATGAAAATAAAGTATCAAGGACAGTACTCAATTGCACTAATACGGCTACAATCGCCTTAAGCATGAATGGGATCATGTAACAGATATAAAGCAGGTATTATCTGAACTGAACTACAAGAGTGGAAATGCACTTGAGAGCTCAAATCCAGCCAAAACATTTGTTTTTTAAAATAAATTAGCAAGGTTAAACCTCTGTCAGGTTTACCACTGTTGGTGTGCTTTATTGCCTTGAGTATTCATTTCATGCTGGGAGCTTTCCCCTCACACCCTGCCTTGGTAAACTGAGGGGAAGTATCTCTCACATGGACAGCAGTAATCACTATATATATATATATATATATATATATATATATATATATATATATATATATATATATATATATATATATATCAGAAAGCTGGGTTTGCGTATATATATATATATATATATATATATATATATATATTTTCTCTCCAGAACATAAAATGGGAAAAGAGGTGACTAACAACTCCTTACAGTAGTTTTTACATGTTATTGTTTGTAACTATCGTCCTTTTTGGAAAAAACAGGTATTGAAGAAATTCTGAAACGGATCACTTTCAGGAGGTTGGTACACTGTCAGACAAAAACCTATAAGTCGGCCCATGTATAAGCCCACCACATGCCTGTCATTCCTGTAGTCTTCCTTAGCTCTGTTTTGGGTGTGGCCACTTCCTCTGCCATCTCAGCCAAGATTTTAGTACAGTCCTATGCAAGACTTTGACCCAAGTCACCAAGTTATGTGCTATCTCTGACAGCTGAGTCCACAAGCATACTCCCAGCGCTTTCTTCTGAAGATTCTACATCTGATCTACCTGAGGCATCTGAGCAATCATGTACTGAGATTGTCTGTCTGATTCTGAGTCAATACAGTCATTACTTGACGAGTCTCCCTCCAAGGAATTGCACAAATTAAGAGTCAGTTTGGCTGTTTTTGATATGAGCAGCAGTCTAAACGTACAAGTTACTGTTTGTACAGTATAAATGGCTTCTACCAGTGCTATTCCCAGTTTTAACCTTAAAGGTGATTCTAAAGGCTTATTATTTTTATTTTTTTTTATATAGAAAAAAATAAACATGTAGTACTTACCTGCTCATTGCAGTGGTTTTGCACAGAGCAGCCCAGATCCTTCTCGGGTGCCCCCACAGCAAGCAGCTTGCTATGGGGGTGCCTGCTCTGTGTGTCAATTCACACATGGAGATGTGGCTCGGCCCTGCCCCTCTCTCTTCTCATTGGCTCATTGGCTGTGATTGACAGCAGTGGGAGCCAGTGACTGTTGCTTCTGTCTCAGCCAATGAGAAGAGTCCTGGGACAGCTGAGACTCAAGTGCACATTGCTAGATCGAGAGGGGGCTTAAGTGACTATTGGGGGGGGGGGGGGGTGGATCCTGCACAGAGGAAGTTTTTTTTACGTTCATGCATAGAATGCATGAAGGTAAAAAAAAAACCTTGAGCCTTTAGAACTTTAACCACTTCAAGTCTGGACACTTTTTACCTCCTTCCTGTCCAGGCCAATTTTCAGCTTTCAGCGCTATCACACTTTGAATGACAATTGCACGGTCATGCAACACTGTACCCATATGAATTTTTAGAATTTTTTTGAGACTGATAAAGTTTTATTTTGGTGGTATTTATTCACCACTGGGATTTTTTTTTTTTTTTTTTGGCTATATAAATGAAAGTCCAAAAATTATGAAAGTGTTTTTCTTATAAAATTTTGCAAATAACTGAATAAATTTTGGCCAAGATTTATGATGAAATATTATTTTTTTTTTAGTAAAGAAATAACCCAAATTAGTTTATAACCAAAAATCTATAATTTTTTAATTTTTTTTTTTTTTTTACATTACATTCTACACACTGTCACCCTTGCAGTACAGTGTCACCATGGTACTGCTAGGGTGACACTGTACTACTTGTTGGGTGATGAAGATTTTTATATTTTTTTCTTTCACTGCTTGCTTTTCCACCCATAAAGGCTGTAAAAGCAATCATTTCTCCTTCTCTCCGGCTGCATTCTTGCTGCCATTGAGAACTACTGTGTGAGCTGTGATTGGTCACAGCTTGTCACATGGTACAAGGCTGTTGTGAATAGCCTTGTACCATGTGACCTCCATGATCATTCACAGATTTCACACGTAAGCAATTATGTCAGAAGTGACATCTTGCTTACTCCTCTGCATGTGATCACTGATTGGCCAATCAGTGATCACACGATTGGGACCTAGCACAGAGGTCCCGTACGACGATCAGTGTTCCACTATGTCCTGAGGACACAGCGGGCACCGGATCGCAGTGCTGCGCACTCCCAGGGAGTGCGCACAGTCCAAAATGGCGGGGGCCGTTTATGAACGGCAACCCGCCCCTGGACTGCCTTCGTCCGGGCCGTTTTACAGAGTAGACTTGCATACCTAACCAATAACTGGTTGAATGTCCTCTTTGGACTACTGTTTTCACTGACAGGCCTTGCTTTTTACCCCATCCTGGCTGTTTCCAACCTCTGGCTGGCTGGCCAAAGTCCCTTTTTATAGAAGAGATATTGCTTTTGTTGTGGTTCATCCTTCGATTCTAGAATGTTTGGAGCGAAGTATTGCAGCATTAAGCAACAGTTGCCTGCTGGTGGTTTCCAGTCTATCTTACATATATTTCCTGTCTGTATACAGGTAGAGGCCAGTTTGGTTAAAGTGCTGAACTGCAAAACCTGCTTCTCAGAAGCATCCATGTGGTCTTGGAGGAACAAGTTTCTTCAGATCTTGATTCTGGTGGTGGGCGTACCCATCTTTCTTGGTGAAAGAAGCCTAAGGAACGGACCACAAAGTCGTATCCCTCATTATATGTTAAGAAATGTCATGTTCATTTCTCCTTTCTTATGCCATCCATGTCTAGACCCTCCAAGCTCTCGGCCCACCCACAAGGTCTGTGGTTTAAAGTCTGCCAAATCTTCAGACAAACCTCCCTCAGCATGCAGGCGCATACCCACTTTCCAGAGTGGTTGAATGTTTGTAAGTCTTTACAGACACTTGAACAGTTTGCATCTTCTACACCTGGGTGAAAGAGGTGGTTTCCAAAGACTAGAAGCTGGAGATTTAGTCCTTGCCCCCTCCTCTATTTTAGCAGATCTTCATGAAGCCCTCACTTGTGGTTTTTTATTTTTTTTTTTTTTTTTCCTCAATGACCGTGTTTTTAGAGATTTTACTCCAACCTGTATATAGTTACCATCCCAAAGGGGGAATCTGCTTAATCTTGGATCTAAAAGCACTGAATGTCTTCATTCAAGCTTAGAAACTTTGTATGCTGTCTCTACTGGGTCATCACCAGGGTGATTTTCTAAATTTGTTGGACATCAAGGATGCGTACTTGCATGTCCCTTTCTTTCCAGTACATCAACATGGACCTGACCTTTTTGGCCTCTCATCTGCACCTTGGTGCTGGTGTCAGTCATGGCCATGCTTCACTTTAGTGGCATCCTCATTATGGGATACTTTCAACTTTCTGTTGAGGGAGTAGGTGGTGCAGGCTTTGAGTGAACGGCTGTAATGCCTGGACAGATGGAACAAAAACTTTCAGATATCGTTGCCTGAACAAACTGATCGTTTTGGAGTGTCAGAGTCTAGTCCTGGACACAGCACAGGTCAGAATATTCCTTCCACGGGAGAAACTTCAGACTCTGAGATTTCAGGTTCGAGCTCTGCAGTCTAGGAGTCTTCTGATTCTTTGCTTTTTCATGAGTCTTGGTTCTGAAGGTAGCTTCCTTCGGGGAAGTCCTGTTTGTCCCACGATGACCATATATTGTGTTGTAGAGATCTGGCTTGAAACTGGGCAATCTAGCCCCTTGACAGATCGATTCACTTGGCATCTTGGACCAGGTTGTCACTGGCTTAGTGGTTCAGGAGTCCATGTCTTGAATGAGGGAAGTCCATCCTTCCTGTCTCTTAGAAGATCTCAAAGTCAGATGCCAGTCTTTTGGGCTGGGGAGGAGATGTGCTGATACACAGGACATGGATGTCAGAGGTGAAGGGGACTGGATTGTTGGAGGAGTCTTGTCTTCCAATTAGCATCCTACAGGTTCAGGTGATTGGCTTTCTTTGCAGCATTAGACCACCCTGCTGGAGGACAATATAATCTGAATTCAGTCACAGTGCCATGGCGTCTGCTCGTATATCAACCATCAGAGTGGAGCCCCACTGCAACAAGAGGTGTAGATTGCATCCTTTTCTTAGACAGGGTGCCTTAAAAGAATATATTTATTCTCTGTACTGAGATAAGTAAGCCTTTTTTCTAGGAATTTCTTCCAAGACTCTAACAAACTGCCATCATCTTGCTTCCTGATCAGTTGTGACCTTGATGAGAACCCCTACTTAGATGACCCTCACAACTTAAGTAGCAATTTTCCTACTGCCCTTTAAAGTATTGTGAACTGGTTGCAGTGGAGCAGGTCTACAACCTGGTCATCTCTGTGAAAAATCACCACATGGTATTCGATTAATGTTTCAGATCAGATGCAGCTATTGGATCAGTAGTGTTCCCATTAGTGTTTTCCCACTCAGACTTGGGTTGAGGGCAACTGCGAAGTTCTCTTTGTACCGTATATGCTGTTGGTGAAGAAACAGGGATTTTGTACTTGCTATAAAAATCTTCTTTTGGCTCCACAAGCAAAAAATCCATTTAATTTTTAAAGTTTAATGCTCTTCCACCCAGTGTTATCTGTGTTTCATGAAAAGAAAATGATGGTTGCAAAGTTTTTATTTAAAATCCGAATCCTACACACAATGCTGATCACACTTGAGCTCACTACATGGTAGCAGGTACAACTACAGGTTTTATAGTTATTTTCTCTTTATTCTGTTTACCCTAAATGAATGATGGAAAATGTCTTTTGTTCCAGTGCATTGTGGCAGTATCCGTCAAACAGCCACCATCCTGAGTATGAGCCGTGACTGCTTGCGTACTGGAGATAAAGCTACAGTTCACTTCAGATTCATAAAAACACCTGAGTACTTGCACATAGACCAGCGACTGGTATTCAGAGAGGGCCGAACCAAAGCTGTGGGCACAATAACCAAGGTATTTTGATGAGATGTATGCAAAACAAGGTCCAGCTAAAGCAACATATTATGCTTCTTTAAATACTCCAGATAATTCTTGTATTTTAGTTTATTGTATTTTAGTTTATTGTATTTTAGAGGTGAAAAGAGGTGTGCTTTTATTATAATTTTTTTTTTTTTAGCAATGCTACTTTTACTTTGTTTCCACTAGCAATCCATATATGAACCCACAATAACCAATTTCCTCAGTGTCCTTACACGTCTAAATCAAGTTGCTATGGGTTACACCACTCTGTACTCGACAGAAAAAGTATGCTTGGGTTTTAAGATTTTTAAAAAAGTTTACTTTTTACAATTTTTATTCCTTTTAAACAATTTTGAGCTTTAAGAAGTTTCAGTGTGGTTTTTTTTTTTTTAATTTTTTTTATTTCTCTCATGTAGACTTGGTCCCATTGAAATCTGTCCAGCCTGTGGTCTGTTTCTTTGTGATGAGCAATATTTTTACTGTTCTGAATTACCAGGCAGCACTGCAGGGCTGTGTCATACATGGAACTGGCACAGACGGCGCTGATAATTTGCTCAGAACAATAAAATCTCATTCAGTTCTGCTTTGCTGTGTATCCCATCTGCTGGGGGGTTGTGTGTGTTTACAAGCAGCCACAAGCACTGCTGTTGGGGTGTGATGGATCTAATGTTATGTATGTTTACTAACAGCCAGCAGCTCTCACACAGTCCTGCAACGCTGATTGTTCAAGGACAATCAGCTTAGGGTATAAGGCCTCATTGCTGGCTGTAGCTCTTCTAACAGGAACGTCCAGTCTGGGGTGGAGCTTACAGGCAGTATTAACATAGAGGTTTATTTATTCCACAATGGGATCATTGATCAGAATGGAGCCAAGTGCTATGTGCACATGGTTCGCTGGGTAATTAAAAAAAAAAAAAAAAAAGTTAACCTTTTTGTGTGAGTATTTTTTAACTCCTATTTGTCTTGACAACTTATAACTTATTCCCTGACAAGTCGTACAGAGGTGAGCATTACAGTACACTGTTGATACAATGTTGGTTTTGATGCACAAGAAATGTTTAGATAATCAGTCCAAACATTGAAGGTCTCACACATGTAGTATCCTTATACTCAGGAAGAATATCAAAATATGTTTTGGGTTGTAGGCTTTTAAGGGACATAAGTTTTTTGTGTCTAATTTCTTGACTACCTATCACATTTTTTGAGGCCCTGAAATGCCAGAACAGTAGAATCGGACACAAAATGACATTTGGATATTTAATTTTTTGCAGAAACAAAGTGAAAATGTAATTTATTTTTTTACTGGAGGTTGTGAATTAATGTTTCTCACACACAGCATGGGTATACTTAGAATAACACACCAAAACATGTCGTTCTACCCCTAGTATGTGGATACACTTGTGGGAGACTTAGTCTTTGGACTTGTGTACCAGACATTGTATCCTGTGCATTATAAAAATCAACCAACATTATATCAAAAACCGTGTACTTGTAATTCTTGCCTCTGTATGGGTGGTCAGTTTAGTGTAGCATCACCTATAGTAGTCCCTGTACCTGTAAGCCAAGCAAGCCTAGGGATGCCCCCAGGAATGCTATGTTCACTGGGTAGGATGTACAGGAGGCTAAGCAGAAGGTGAACAGAAATCCTGTGGTTCCAGGAGTACAGTTGTCCGTAGGAAATGGCTGGGACTGGCTTCTCATAGGAACTTAATCAGTGGGACTTGCAGATGGGTCAGTTCAGGCGACAGGTGCCGATGCCATCTGCAAACAGGCAAAGGATGGGTCCAGATGTCAGGCAAAAACATGGTACATATGGGAAGAAGGCAGAGGCAACGCTGCACTGGTGTGGCAGTGATTAGAAACTGTGTGAGGAACCACAAACCAGGCGGAGACTGTTTAAAATCACACCTTTTTAATGAAATGGCAAATATAACTTAAATCCGCACCAAAGTCAAAACAGAAGCCAGGATTTGGATGCCAGAACAGGTAATAAGACAAGCCAGAGTCAGGAAACCAGAAATCGGTGTAGTCAGGAGCCAAAAGTCAGGAATCGGAAGAGAAGTCATCCAGACAGTGTTACACAGAAACACACTGGAGATCATAGACCATGCAAAAGCTGCTAAAATAGCAAAAAGGGCTGGCTGTAGGCTGGACTAATGAGGCAGGTAATGGTATCCAGATGAGTCACTGTGGAGACAACAAGTAGCTGATAATTAACCAACAGCTGAGCAGCTTCTGAGCACTGAAAGAAAAGAGCTGCTCATTAAGTAGCAGGAGCTCAGCCCTGACAGTACCCCCTCATTAATGACCCCTACCCATTGGGGGGAGCACCAGGCTTGAGGGGAAACATAAATGTGAAGCATGAAGGAGGGCAGGAGCATGTATATTCGAGGATGAGACCAAAGAGCGTTCCTCTGGACCATAAACCTCCAGTGAGCTAGATATTGTATGCTTCCATGAAACCTACGTGAGTCAGATTGTATCCCATATTCCCCATGGTTGTCAACCTGAACCGGGCAAGGGTGTGGTACCTAGGTGGTATAGCAGTTACACACCAGAGTTTTTAATAACGAAACATGGAATATGTTGGAAGGAAGATCTAATGGGTATGCCGCGGTATTAACCCTACATAGTGTGGAAAGGCCAAATATACGGAGGCGTCAGTTTTAGTGAGGGAACACTGAGTCGTAGGTTACGGGAAGACAGCCAGATCCTCTCCCCAACTTGGTAGGAGGGTGCAGGTAGGTGTTGGCGGTCAGCATGGAGTTTGTACCTCTCTGGAGCTTTTGCAAGGTTTCTTGGATCTGCACCCAAGTGGAACGGAGTTCTTGAATATGTTCTTCTAACACAGGAATTCCCTGCAGAACGAATGTATCGGGCAACATGGATGGCTGGAACCCATAGTAAATATGGTGGTCTGAAATATGGCAAAGTAGGAACTGTTCCAAGGCTTGGTTGGCCCGTTCTGTGGTGCCATTGGACTGCTGGTGATATGAGAAGGAAAGCTAAATTCCCAACTGTGCACAAAAGGTTTTCCAAAACCTGGCCACAAACTGGCTACCCCTGTCCGAGTGATAACTTTAGGTAACCCATGTGAAATAAATTGGGGTGGTTGTATATTTCCCCCTAGTTATATTAAAATTACGTGCCATCTTGTCTGTCCCTATAATTAGCTAGTGTGCCTAAGCTCTGACAATAGGGGTGGTAATAATGTATTATGATATTGGCTATAAAAATAAACACAATGCTCAAAGAAGCAAAGGTTTTTTTATTTACAAAGAAAGTAAACCACTAACAGAAATCTAAACTAATATTAAATCGTATGAAAATAAAAGAGCAAAGATGATATGTTGTGTAAGTTCTTCCTCGAAGTTCAGTATCTGGCTGGTCTGAGTGCTTTTAATGCAAGGCCCGGCCATGCTTTTTTTTTAAATTTTTTTTTTATTTATTTCCCCCCCCCCCCCCCTCCTTTTATCTATCCATTCACCACCCACACAAACACCCTTGACCCGCCCGGTGTAGTCCTTCGTCAAATGAGCAACAATCCATAACTTATAAGGGGCTGTCCTGCCCAATCACTAGGAAGTATAGCATTAGGCCAGCCATCCTCCGGAAGTATGTCGTTGTCTTCACTAAGGGGCACTGCTATATTGCCAAAAATGCTTTGACCCAGGTCAATGGTCCAGTCCACATCAGGTTTCTTTTGGCTAGAAGCCATGTAATCTGTCATTTTACTGTTCCTGTCACCAGGGAATCTGGGCTGAGGCTTTCCTATCTCCATGCCCCACCGCTAGGGGGATGTGTGAACTCTCAGGACCAGGCTTTTGGTATGCAATCTTTTGTTACACACGCTCTGTTGTACGTTCTTGTTTTACGGACACTCCAAGATGACATCTAACAAGCCAAATGGTTCTTTGTTACCCAGGCAGTAAGAATCCTGTCAGATATAAAAACATGTTGCCTTCCAACACCATATAACCAAAAGATCTCCCTGAGCGAATACTGATGCGAATACTGGGTTCTTTGGACATAGGCAACTTCTTCAGCGAAATTTTTTGATTTTTTTCGAAAACCGGTCATCCACCATAAGAATAACTGTATTGCCCTAGGAGTTGGGTAAATCCACAATAAAATCAATAGACAAGTGGATCCAGGGCCCCTCTCCACTGTGTATGGATTGGAGAAGGCCTGCTGGAAGGTGTCGGGATGTTTTTTATTTTGAGCATACACGAGACAAGCAGCTACAAATGCGGTTACATCAGCGCAGAGACTAGGCCACCAGAATTGTTGAAACATAGACCATATGAATTGGTGTTTTTTCCTGGGTGCCCAGCTGCTTTGGAGGAATGGTAGGTCTGGGGCAAAGCAGTGCAGCGATTCTCAGGGACGAAGCAGCAGTCATGAGGTCTTCCAGAAGGAGAATGGAATTGAGAAGTCAGAATTCTCTCACCCAGACTAGTGCAAATAGTGGCCAAAATGCGGTTTGAAGATTTCACAAGAGTAGGAACAGACTTCATTTTGGAAGAGGAAAATTGCCACGATAATGCAACGCTTATATTTTTCGTACCAGGTAAAAATGAGACTGTAGTTGAAGCTTGACCGAAAAAGGGCCCACCAAGCCCTTCTAGGAGATGAGCGTTTTGATCATAAGAATCTCACATTCCTGTCTAAGGCTAGTCAAAATGAGGCACAGTAGTACCCTCAAGGAGTTGCCTCCATTATTTAAGAGCTACAATGATGGCTAATAATTCTGTCCCCAATTTTGTACTTGCATTCTGCTGGATTCTGCTGATGTTTTAGAAAAGTAGCCACAAGGATTCAAAAGGGCCTACAGAGGTAGGATGTTGAGACAGGAGAGCGGCTACTCCAGTCTGACACCTCAACCTCAGAATGAAGAGTAACTTAGGATCAGGGTATGCCAGCACTGGGGCTGCAGCAAAAGCGGCCTTGAGTGAATCAAAGACTTTATTGGAATCCAGAGACCAATTCTGTGGGTTGCCCTCCTTTCTGGTCATATCAGTCAGGGGTTTGCCAATTTTTATCGGAAACTTATTTGTAATTTCTCTCTTCTGGTCAAAGACAAGAAAATATTGTGGAGGATGCAGACTTGTGCGTTGAGGCCATTGTAAGACTGCAGATCGTTTCTCTGGGTCCATCCAAAACCCAGAAGCAGATATGACAAAAAACAATTTGTACTTGTTCACGATGAAATTCGCACTTTTCCTACTTCTAAAGAGGTTGAGAGAGAACAACCCTGTATAACATGATGTCTGTGTAGTGGTTCTCTAGGGATTTTGAATATGAGAATATTGAGGTAAACCACCACACATTGCTGCAGCATATTTTTGAGGACATCGTTAATAAATTTCTGGAAAACTGCAGGAGCATTGCAGAGACCAAAGGGCATTATGAGGGGTTTGTAGTGTCCGCTCCAAGTATTAAATGCAGTTTTTCCATTTGTCCTCCTTTTAATCATCACGGGTTTGTAAGTGCCTCTCAAATCTAGCTTAGTGAAGACCTTTGCTACCTTTTTTAGGGGGTCAAATCCGTTATCAATAGAAATGGATAAGCATTTTTAATAGTAATGTGATTGAGACCCCTATAATCATCAATACAGGGTCCCAGTTCCACTCCTTTTTCAAAAAAAAAAAACTAAAAAAAAAAACTGCACCAACGAGAAGAGGATTTGCGGATTAATCCCAGAGATAGTGACTCCACAACATCATCTTATCTTCAGAGGGTAAATCCGACCACTAGGAGGAATGGCATCAGGTTGAAGATCAGTTCTGCAGTCATAAAACCGATGTGACAGTAAAATACCAGCTTGGCCTTTCTGAAAAACATCAGAGAATTCCTGGTACTCCTCTTCAAAAAGTGAGTCAGTCTCTTCTTTGCCAAACAAGTATTGGCGCATTGTAGCGCCATGACAGAACCTCAGCTCTATGCCAATCAAATTAAGGATTGTGCTTCTGTAGTGAAGGATGACTAATGACAACTGGGTAATGAGGTGAGGAACTGACTTGGAATTGGATTATCTCATGTGAAGAGCCCCTACAGCCATGGTCAACAGAGCAGTTTCATGGGCAGGCTGTAGAGGTCTCCCATCAATTGCCTCAATGGCAAGTGGGTAGTAATGAGGCTGCAGCAGTATCGAGTGCTGCAACACAAAAGCACGATCTATGAATAAGCCTGCAGCCCCAGAATCGATTAATGCCTGGGTGTCAATGGGAAAACTCAGACCTGGAAAGGTTAACCGGAACTAGAGATTTTTCTTTAAGGATAGCTGGGGATGCAAAGACATCACCTAAGGTCTGCCACTCTGATGAATTGACTGTTTGACATACCACTGTCACACTGCATTCTGTGTAGTCTTGTTGCCCCTATTTCATCTATTGTTGCGGACTGGTACACTATTATTTATTCTATCATTGTGCGAGCGCTGAATATGCTTGTCTATTGTACATGGTGATTACTTTATATACCATTTGAGTGTATTGAAATTCCTACTATAGGTTTGCGGTTTATCAGTAGGCAAGGTTTAAATGAGAGATTCAGACCACAAAAAACTTGTTTACCTTTGCTGTTTTGTGTAGGGAGGCCTCCACTCATATCGTTTGTAGATAAACGGTCTTAGGTTTTCCAAACGATAAAACAGTGGGTGGATTTTGGTAAATCCATCCAGGCTTTTCTTGCTTCAAGACATGATAGTGGTTTGCAGCCTTTAGGAATTTTGGCTTCTGGAATGTCAGACCAAAGAGTGCCTATTCTCGGGTTAAGGGCGAGTAATTTAAAGAAGGGAGTTGCATTAAGGTAAAAAATGTTTAGGCTTTATAACCAGTTTAACATGCCATTCTTCAAGTCCTTCAGTCTGTGTTGCCCATAGCTGCAAATCATGTTTTTATATAGATTGCTGACAAAATGAGAAATGAGTTTGTGTGTGTGTGTATATGAATTTGCTATATTTCAGGAAATGTTCTGTAATCTCTTTATTTAGTTGCTACAAAGCACAAACAACTTGCCAATGAACTCAAAGCCACAGCAAGTTAAGATGCAGTCCACCAAAAAGAGTCCACTTGGAAAGAAGGATGAAGCAAACCTAGGGACGGCAGCAGTGGAGGAGGTCCCTGTGGCAGCCAATGTTGGAGCAACAGGGTTGCAAGCACAAGTAAGAGTTTTCGTTTAGGATCACAAGGTGACATACAGACACGCTTGTTGTATTCTCCAGCTGTATTTACTCAGTATAATATCCAAATGAAGGATATAACACCAGCATGTGAGTAAAAATTCAAATAATTCAAAAACAAAATCACTGAGGTTTTTAAAAAGGATTACCTTGCTCCTAAAAAATGACTTGTAAGCTCAAATCAGGTTTAGCTAATCACCTTCTCAGTAGCAATCAAAGCCATTTGATTTGCAACTGTGTTCAGCTGTTGTCATTTTGATTAGCTCAGCATGAAAAGAGCTTTTCTGGAGCATTTCAGTGCCTGGTAGTGCAACGGAAGCAAACAATCAAATATGGGTGCAAGCTACTGTCAAAAGATCTCCAGGATAAAATTGAGGACAGGCACAAGTCAGGAGATGGATTCCAAAGGCTTTATAAATGCCTAGAATCACAGTGAAGTCTATTAAAAAGTGGAAGGTATTTGGTACAACACAGACCCTCCCTGGATCAGAACGTCGCTCCAAACTGGATGAAAGAGCCAGGAGGAAAACTGGTCAGAGAGGCTACCAAGAGGCCTACAGCAACCCTGAAACAGTTGCAGGAGTTTGACAGTGTTCATTTTGTGCATGTCACAACAATATCACAAATTCTCAGCAAACGTAGCTTGTATGGGAGGGTTGCAAGAAAAAAGCCGCTCCTCAAGAAATGCCACATGCAGTCACGACTCGGCTTTGTCAGAATGCCTTGAAGATTCTAAGGCCACATGGAAAAAGATGTTATGGTTAGATGAGACCAATATTGAATTATTTGGCCTCAATACCAAACACTGACTGGTGGAAATCCAGTACAGCTCACCATCCAAATAACACCATTCCTACAGTAAAGCATGGAGGTGGTAATATCCTGTTTATGGGGGTGATTCTCTGCAGCAAGAACTGGAGCACTTGTCAGGATAAAAGAAAAAATGGATGGGGCAAGATGCTGCCAAATTTTTGAGGAAAATCTGCTACCCTCTGACAAAGTTGTAAATGGGAAGAAGGTTTATCTTCCAGTATGACAATGACCCAAAGCACACAGCAAAAATGACCACATAGTGGTTGAAGGAAAAAAAAAGGTGAATGTCCTTGCATGGCCTAGTCTGAGCGCTGACTTAAACCACATTGATGATGACCATTTGTGGACTGCAGTCTTCAGTTAAATTTTGAAAATCTGTGGAATGACTTGAACTTGAGTAGTTCTGCAAAGAAGTCTGGGTGTGCAAAGTTAGAGACACATCCAAACACACTAAAGGCTGTAATTAAAGCAAAAGGTGGTTCAACAAAATACTGCCACAAGGTGGTGATCCTTTTTCCAACTCACTGATGCGGTTTTTAGGATTTTTGTTTTCAATTTTTGTTGGTGTTCTATTTTTTACTTGTATGTTTATAGGTTGCACTGAGTTAATACAGCTGGATAAAACAAACTGTGTCTCTTCATTTCAGGGGCTGCAACGCAACAAAATTTGATTATTTTAGGGGGAGTGATTCTTTTCTATAGTTTGGTTTTGTCTGTGTTGACCACTCCATTCAGCCTTTTTTTTTTTTTTTTTTTTTTTTTTTTTTTTTTTTTTTGTAGGCAGCTTTGTTTCCTGTTTGTCATTCCACAAGGTCCACAAAGAGCTTTATCTCCTCCTCTCGCAGAAAACACACACCCACTTAGACTTCAAATTGGAGGGCTCTCCCCACAGTCCTCAGTTATCGTGTTTTTTCTCTGGCTAGGTAGGAACTCGCAGGAACTGTGGGGACTGCATTCTCTCAGGTGCTGCCTGAGAGGGGTCTCTGTTTGTTTGTTTTTCTTTTACCGTATTTACTTGCAGCAGTGGTCTTCCAGGCAGAGTCCTGGGGGGGAGCGGCATGTGTGGGCAATGGTGGCGGCCATATTTTTGTTGTCCAGTGGGGTCTGGGAATGCCTGTGAGGTCACTTCCGGGCAGGGGCAGAGCTTCTGGTCAGCATGCGGCTTCCGTTCCGGGTGCAGGATGCATGGCCCAGCCAGTGCCTATTTCCGGTCCCGGGCCGGTGCAGCACCGTTCCGGGATTTTGGGACCAGGAGACAGCCACATAGACTACTGCAGGCTCTGCTGTGGAGCGACTGCAGCTACGGGGACAGGCGGAGGCCCCGGTAAAGCTATGGGCAAACTGTATTATGCTGCTTTTCTTTCTGGCAATGTGGGGTCTTTTTTCCCCCTAGTGGCTGAGGGCCTGTCTTGTCCTCCCAGATCCTGCGTGTGTGGGGTCAGTGCACTAGTAGTGTGGAGGTTTGGGCTCTTTTTTTGCACTGGGTGCATTTTGTGTGTTTAAGGTCAGTCAGTGGCTAAGTGGTTATGTTCCTTGCGCCTTGTCTTAGGCTAAGGGCAGTGAATCTACACTTGCATGAAGGCCATCTCCTCTTGCTAAATTGTCAGATGCTTGGAAAAAGCCTTTATAGGAGTGCGTTTTTCTGCTTTATTGAGAGAGGAGGCAGCGTTAAAAGTGATTTTCTGGCTTTCTTGAAGGCTGAGTGGAGTGCAGTATTTCAGAAATATGTTGGCGTCTTCCTCCCAGTGTGCTTCTGAGCCTACCCCCCCCCACACCACAATATGCTTCCTTGGAAGCGGGGTCAGGGATGCCATCTGCTCAGGTGGCTGTCTCGCCTTTTCGGTAAGAGGGTGATTCAAAGGATGATGGGGGAAGAGGCATAGGATTCCTCAGCATCTAAATATAAGCTGTCGCTGGAGGATGTGGAATATCGGCTTAAAGTGATTCATGCCACCTTAGGCATTAAAAAAGGGAGATTATTTCCTGTACATTCAGCCATTGCAGACATGATTAAAAAAATGGCAGGATCCGGAAAGGAAACCATTTTTTTTCTTAGATCCCACAAGAGATGGTTCCCATTTGACTCCTCAGCAGTATGGACCAAAGTGCCTAAGGTAGACACTGCATTTTCCTATGTCTCACAAAGCACAAACTTCACCTTTGAAGACACGGGGAGCCTGAAAGAGGCTATGAATAAAAGAATGGATTTGCTGTTGGAAAAGAGCATGGCATTCCACAATGTAGAATTTAAAGCCAGCTATGGCAGTCACATGGTTAGCAAGAAATCTGGTGCATTGAACCAACTTAAGGCGCATATCAGTGAGGGAACCCCAAAGGATGAGATTTTAGATCCCTTCCCTACAATCACAAGAGCTGTAGGGTATATAGCAGATGCATCTGTGGAATCCATACGCATGACAGATTGCTCAGCTTGTTTGTCTCGGCAAAAAGGGCCTTATGGTTAAAAACATGGCAGGGGGACTCTACATCAAATGTTAGGATGTGTGGAATCCCTTTGTCAAGGGATCTCCTCTTTGCTGTGTGATCCAAAACTGACTCGAAGCCTGGCCCAGACAGGAAAGTCTTTTCCTATGAAGAAGCGAAAATAAGTGCAAAAACTTTTCATCCCCAGAGAAGCTGGGTGACAAATCGCAAGGGAAGAAAGAGGTCTGGCCATCGCAGAAAGGAAGAGAAAAAAAGGGTATCCATATTTCTGCACAGCCTGAAAAATCCCAGTGACCAGCTGCTCCTGGTGGGTCCGAGACTGCAGGTGTTCCTTCCACAATGGGAGAAAATAACTTTAAGCCTGTATATCTGAAATCTGGTCTTCCAGGGTTACAAGATAGGTTGCAGAGGTCCCCCCAAGAAGGATATTCCGAAGGATCCGGTAAAAGCTCTTGCTATGAAGAACCTGGTTCAGGATCTGATATTCCAAAGAGTGGTGGTTCCGGTCCCATCAGAGGAAGAACAGATTGGGTTTTATTCCCATATACTTCTGGTGGGAAAACAATCAGGAAAATGTTCGGTTGATCCTCAACGTAAAACCCTTGAACAAAGCAGTGCGATACAAGCAGTTCCGAATGGATTCAGTCTTTTCAGTTGGAAACCTGCTGTTCCCAGATTGCTTTATGGCATCAATCGATCCAAGGGACGCCTCTCTGCATATCCCAATCCCAAAGATTTTTGAGGCTAGCTCTAAGGTCAGGATGCGAGGTTCAGAACCTGCAATTCAGGGCACTGCCTTTCAGTCTGTCATCTCCCCGCATCGTCACCAAGGTGATGACAGAAGCCCTAGCTCCCTTCAGGCTCGGAGGTGTGATGGTTATTCCCTACCTAGATGTTGTGTTCCTGGCAAGCTCAGAAGAGCAGTTGAAGGACCTTCAGGTATCCCGCAGCCATCTGGAAAGTCCGGGCTTGATCGTCAACGTGCAGAAATCTCCAATCTGACCCTGTGCAAGAAGGTTTTTGTTTCTGGAGTTCTGCATCTGTTCGGCGGAACAAAGTTTTTTTGCTGGAAAAAAGACGCGGAAAATACAGTCGTCTTTGACTCTTCTTCACGGCAACCACCAGGTGTCAATCAGGTTTACGATGTCAGTTCTGGGCCTGTTGACAGCCTCCATCCTGGCAGTCCAGTGGGCAAGATTACACTTTAGGTCCCTTCAACTATTTTGTCCTGAGAATTTGGAATGGATACTTTGTCTTGCTGGACAAGAAGGTGAGAGTCCCCTCCAGGGTCAATAGATCCCTCTGGTGCTGGATGCAGGAGGTTCTCTCTAAAGGTCTAGCTTGGTCCTTTCCAGTGGAAAGGATCCTTACCACGGATGCCAGCTCCTGGGGCTTGGGGGCACACCTGGGAGGTCAGCTTGCACAGGGGCAGTGGCCAAGGCAGCAAAGGTTACACTCAAACTGGAGGGAAGTAAAAGAGATTGCTTTTGGCTCTTGTGGCTTTCTCTCAGGAGCTCCAGGGTTGACATGGACAGGTCTGCATGGACAATACCACAGCGGTAGCCTATGTAAAGAAGCAAGGTGGCACAAGAAGCAGGAGCCTTTAAAACTCTGGCGAAAGAAGTTGTGACTTGGGTGGAATTCAATTTGGCATCCTTGTCCGCAGTCCATCTCAAAGGCTCACTAAACCTGATAGATGACTTCCTGAACAGACACCAGCTGAAGGAGGGCAAGTGGTGCCTAAACCAGGAAGTTTTCTTCAGCTTAGTTTAAGCAATGGGGTCAGCCACAAATCGATCTGTTTGCGAATCGTCAAAATACTAAAACCAGTCAGTCCTTTTCCCTGAAGAAGGAAGATGGAGCAGTAGGGATTGATGCTCTTGCTCAAAGGTAGAGCTTTCAGCTGTGCCACGCCTCCCCCCCCCCCCCCCCCCCCCCCCCCTTCTAACGAATTCCTCTGGTTCTGAAGAAGCTGCAGAGTTCAGGTCATTTTCATAGCTCCCTTCTGTCTGCAAGTGTCCGATATGGTTTGATTGACAACCACAATTTTTTCAATCAAAGAAGGACCTGCTACTAAAAGGTCCTCTGTTATCCGATAGTGGAAAATATATGCCTTTATGGTGTGGTTTCTGAAAGGCAACTGCTATAATAGGCTTCTAAAAACACATAGCAGACACTCTTCTAGCAAGTCATAACGGGGGGGGGGGGGGGGGGGGGGGGGGGGGGGGGGGGTCACGAGAGCTATCTACGGGAAAGTCTGGAAGAAGTATAATTCTTGGTGCCTAACCAATTCAAGGCCCTTGGAAGATCTCGCTTCAGTCCTGGAGTTTCTTCAACCAGGAGCTGACAAAAAGCAGCCAGCACACTAAAAATCCAGATGGCAGCTTTGGGTGGTCTTTCTGGAGTGTTCGATCTCCTCGGATCCCCAAGTTATCAGTTTCTTCAAGGCCTTGTTTCTATCCAGACCAGTTTAAGCAGAAGCTTTCCCTAAATGGGATCTTTCCCTAGTCCTGCAAGTTCTGACCAAGTCTTCCTTTTGAGCCCTTGCATTCATTAACCCTGAAGTATATTACACTGCAGACCAGTTCTATTAATTGCGGTCACCTACACACATAGTATTAGTGACCTACAGACGTTATCAGTCAGAGAACCCTTTCTAATGATCTATCCAGATAGGATTGTAATGGGAACCAATCCAGCCTTCCTCTCAAAGGTAGTGTCGGTTTATCACCTCTTCAAGGTTGGCAAAATGTCTTGAGCGATTAATCGATTTACATTATTTTAGAAGTAACTATGGATTTCAAGAGTTCTGAATCTTTTTTTTCATTTTGTTTGTGGGGACTAAAACGGGCAAAAAGCAACTAAAGCATTCTTTGCCAGATAGCTGAGAATGGCAATCAAACAGGCCTATGAACTTTCTGATCTTGTTCCATCGCTGGGCATTCATGCTCATTCCACAAGAGCTCTAGCAGCCACATGGGCAGAAAAGGCCGGTGCCACCCCAGATCAAATTTTGTAAGGCAGCGATGTGGGCAAGTATGTCCATCTTTTGTACACCATTACAGGCTGGATTTGTTGTCAGCAGGAGAGCAGGCCTTCGGTAGGAAGGTCTTGCAAGCTGTGGTCCCGCCCTAAGGGGGCAAGTTCTTGTTTATCCTCCTAATGTGCTGTCCTGAAAGACATTTTGAGAAATTCCAAGTTGGACTTTCCAGCAACTTGTTTTCTAGTAGTCTTTCAGGACCGCAATAAATGCCCACCCTGATATCGTTTATGCGGTTGTGCTTATGTTTTTCAGATCTGCTGGAGGTACTCTTCAAATTGGAAGCCACTCCACACATTCCTCAGTTGTCGAAGTCTAAATGGGTGTGTGTTTCCTACGAGAGGAGGAGCTGCTTTCTCTCGTACTGTCCTACAAAAAAAAAAAAAAAAAAAAAAAGTTCTCTAAGTCTGACTTGGATTTTTGGCTTACATGTTGATTTCTAAGTGGATCTTAGTGGTTATTGTGCAGACCTATGAATTGCAAAATAGTGTGTACTTTTTCTGTTAAAGCCCATTTCATTAGGGCAGTGAGTACTTCTCAGGCTTTCATTATCTGGTCTCGATCTTGCATCTGAAAGGCTGCAACTCGGTTTTCAGTACATATACTGTACATTCTGTAAGTTTGTTGTATTTAGTTTTTTTTTATAAGGTTGTTTTGATGTGCCCATCCCTTTTTGTTAAAACTGCTTTAAGATGTCGTGGCCAAATTATCAACTGTGTCCCTCAGTGGTTGATATTAAAAGTAGTATTTTTGTACTCTTTAAATTCCTTTTCCCAGAGTCCATTGGGAGTTCTGTCCACTCATATACTATCATTCTTGTTTGGAATGCTTGCTAAAGCTGAGAAGGTGAGAAGACTTATAGCCTATGGGGGGTGGCACATAGAAAATTAAATTCCAGGTTTAATTTGACTTTAAAAAGATTGCCTGGGTGGTACTCTTTCCATTACGAACTAATACGGCTGCTTGGTGCACTGTAATATACTGGAGTAGCATCAGCTACTTACAGCAGGCAGTGCTGTGTTCCACAGCAGTATAGGTGACTTCCTGCCTGCTGCCAAAACTAAATTGTTGTCCTGCATGCATCTACGACTTGTGTTTTAGCAATTAATAGCTTCTTTCATTGGCTGATGTAAAAATTGTAACATCTGCCTCCTTCTGCATCTCAGACAATCTTGTATTCACTGATAAAAATACAAGACCTCCTGAATGAAGCATTCAGGTAGACTATTTAGTTCAAGCAGCATATGGGAAATCACCTGCACTGCAGCAGAACACAGTGTTGCATACTGTATGTAGCTAATGCTGCTACAGTTTTTATTACAGCACACCCACCCAGTGGGTGCATCAGTTAGTGATTGATATAGTTTGTGTGACTTTAGCCAAGCTGATCCAAAGTAAACCTACAATTTAATTTTCTATGTGCCTAAAAGCAGGGTTTTTGCATCCTCATGTCAGAGCCTGATGAAGAATAGTAAGCATCTCAGTAGTGGCATCATCAAATCTTACTCTAAATAATCTTAGACTAGCTGCCTGAGGTACAGTGCCTTAGATCTTACACAGCAGATAAACTGTTATAAGGCTGTAGGCACAGGAGTGCTTAGGAGCACTGACCTACCAGGAAGTCACTGCTATTTTTAGGAGGAATAGGTACATATTTCAGAGTAGTACCTGGATACGTACAGTATAATACTTCTAGATTTGTAAACGCTTAGGATTTTCTGAAACATAGCAAATCTTCACTTTTTGATTTCAGTTCCACTTTAAGGGTGGGTGGTCCTTCCTGGCTTTTTGACAGTCAACAGGGTTCTTGATGACATCCCAACATGTTAGCGCATCTTTGTAGTCATCTATCTGAGCAGTAGACCATCTATAATCTTGTCAGTCAAGGCTTTCCTAGGGGAATGCATTTTGCTTTTATTTTATTACAGTAGCCTAAAACGCAAGTGTAATACCGGTTTTAACAGCAGTCCGATAATGAAAAAAAATAGCCTTACTCTGTGCCATTTAAGTATACACTACATTACTATACAAAAATATATATATATATATTTTTTTTCCCAACAGCCAAAGACTGGGGGAGGTGGAAGACGCCGTGGTGGGCAGAGGCATAAAGTAAAATCTCAAGGGGCATGTGTGGCCCCAGCAGGAGGTTGCTGAACTTGACTGCTGAATTTGTGTCCCTCCAACAGCTTGAACATGCCCTCACCACCGTTTTACTGGAGAGAAGCAGCACACTCCCAGATCTCCTGCAGTTCTGTGTACATCAGCCTAATCAAAATGCACTGATTTTACTCTTGAGTTATGACTATGGTGACCAATGATCTGTCATTGTGGCTTTGAATCCTGGCTCACTGTACAGGCAAAGAATGAAGTACAACCCACGGCAGGATTGTAACATTAATTCACAAGGTCTTACTTTGAAATGCCAAGTCAACAAATGATTGTCCACCATGTAACAGCAAATTGGACATGGACTTTCATTATATCATTTAGGTAAACACTTTAGTTCCCTAACATTTCTGAGAAAAAGACTACCACCATGCTATTTAAGAAGAAAGTGTTGACTTTTTATTTTATTTTAAGAAATATATTACTTTACACAATGTGTAGTTTTGTACTGTTGGGATTGTACATTACTTATTGTGTTTTTTTCATTTGTAATTTTTTTTCCTCCTGGCAATATCAAAGGCTGATTTTTAAGATCTTTTCTTTTAACGTAATATCTAAGGGTTTACATTTATGTTCTTAAATTACCTTCCAAAAATTTTAATGACTTGTTGTATATTCTTATGTGGCAGCTTGTTTTCTCTCTGCCATATTGCAGATATCATCTCTGAAATGGCTGTAGATTTTCATTTTTAAATGTGTGCTATTCTAACAAAAAATTACTTCTACAAAGATATTTTGTGTGCTGCGAAGAGCTGGAACTAATTTAACCCTCTGAAAGGTATCTCTGCAGATCCACTTTGGTATTCACTTTTGAACACTAGCTTATTTTTGAGGTTCAGGCATGTCCGACACAATCTAGCTAAATTTTATTTTATTGTGTTTGCAGAACTTTGCCTTTTTTAGTTTAGAAATTCAACCTTCTAAGGCTGCTGTTTTGGTCATGATATAACACCTTTTATACCCCCTCTAATTTAATTTATTGAGGTTCGAAACACATTTTTCCTCAGTTTTGGTGTTTTTTGTTTTGTTCTCATGTTTGCCATTGCAATCCATTAAAATTCACTTGCGCGTATTGTGATAATGTGCGTTGACATGCGTTTAGACGAATTTCCGTTGATTTTAAAGGAAAAGTATAAGAAAACAATATTAAGTTGTGTTTCCAGCCTAAAAGGTTTTTTTTTTTTGTCATTCCTGATGTGGTGTCAGCTTCTGTCGGGTTGAACTATTAATTAACTGTGGTGTCTTTGATTACGCCAATGATATAGGATATTAGTTAGTTTCTTGTCTCCCAGCAAATCTAGAATTACTCCATATATTTTATTGCTAGTCTAGTATAGCAACAGACAAAAACAATCTGACTTTTTTAAAGAAAATCTGTTTTACAAAAATGAGTTCATCCTGATAAGTGCACATCTGCTTCTGTATTTTTAAAGTGGTTGTAAACTCTTGGGCTTCCTTCACAAGGCCAGCTACATGCGGCTGATTCTTGCAGCTGGAATGAACGGGTCATGTGATCAGCAGTGTCCATTCAGCCCATTTAAACCAATGGTGGGCTTACAGTGGCTGCTGCTGTTCATATGTAGCTGCACACACAACAGAGTGGTTTGCTGCGGTTAGGATTTAGGAGCAGGTGTCTGAGTCTGGCCGCAGCTGATTGTCCCAGTTATTCCAGCAGCAAGAATCCGCCCATTCTTGCCACAGGATTCCGATTAGCCGCATTTAACCATCTGTGTGAAACAGGCCTTACATATACCCACTGAAGTGACTAGCCTCACATGCTACAGAGATTAAACAAATCCTCCTACACAAGTTGTACCTGTTTATTTGCAGCCCTATCTTCTATACAGTTCAAAGTACAAAAATTAGTACAGCATTTTTGAGCTTTAAAAAGGAGGGGGCAAGGATCTGATGTCACACTGCACAGCAGAGAGCTGATTGTAATCTGAGACCTAAGTGGAGGGAGTGGGTACACTCTCCCTTATACAGAATGAGAGACGAGACAGAAATCACATTGGGTGCTTTGGATAGGTTATGCGTTGTCCATTTTTCATTTAGGAGATTTACAACCACTTTAAGGTTTTAAGTGCATATCTAAGGTTTGATTGCAAAGCCAGGTATAGTTCCACTCTAATGTGGTTGGTTGTGGCTGAATGCTGGTTATTTTCATTTCAATACACAGTGTGCGCGGGTGCAGGATTTTTTTCAGTGGATTCAAATGCAAGTTTGTATGCTTTCATAATTTTATTTTATTGTACAATACTGTGGTGTATCTTGTTCACTCATATCTTTTTTTAATACATTATCAGCATTGATAAGATTTCCACACCAGAGTCCACAGCTCTGCCTCCATGAAGTTCTGCTCCCTGTGCTGAATTTTCAGAAATGAATAAAAGCCCCAGCATACCACTGTAACTTAAAGCAGTACTAAACTCAAACATTTGTTATATTGCAATTTACCAATTTTTCGATGTGATGGCTTAATTTTTCTTTTTGTAGGCTTTCTTCTGTTTTCGTTTGGTGATCCAGCCCGTAAGTCAGTTAGTCAGTAGTTTTTCAAAAAGAGCAAGCTCTTGTCCAGAGCTCTTTACAGGGTTGAGACAAACCATTTTACACTGACGGGTGCTTACAATGTCAGCTTTTATTTCATATAAATCCTTCATAATCAGTTACAGTAAAGTGTTGGTTTTTTTTTTTTTTTTGTTTCCCTTTTGTGATATAATGTGGGCTGGAGTTTGGTTTCAATTTGTTAGTGTATTTCAATCTGCTAGTCCATTTAACACTACACTGCTCCCCTTGTGACTGACTGTGCTGCTGCCTGCTGTGCCCTCTGTGTTCTTTCAGCCAGAGTGGGGGCAATACAAGAGGTGTATTACTGGCTACGTGAAACCTCTAAATATCAGTTCCCTATTGTTGACACTTTGATCTGGTTGACAAAAGAAATAACTTAATAGTTTCAGAAACGGCTGGACATTATATTTGGATCATAGAAGTACAATTTACACAAGAGTACACTCTGTTCTTAAGCTGTATTGAAATTGTAAGAAAAAGTAATATATTACAGCCTTTTAGTCCTTAGATAAGGTAAGCTGCATTTTGTTTTTCTTTTTTCCTTTTGTGCCTTTATCACTGCGTAATCCTGCAAATGCAGTTCCTGTCCCTGGGTTGCTATGCTCAATTCTCAACTGTCCCTTGAGGGAGTCATAGTTGTCACTCTGCCTGGACTTTAAATCTATGTATAGTAATAGCGAGCGCTCTAGAAAAATAGCAGCTAGAACACTAAAAGGAAATCAGTAACCTTAAAGTAACAATCGGTAAATGAAGTGCAGCGCTAACAAAGGATAAATAGATGAATAAATAAAACAAAGTTCGTTCAGAATAATTCATTCACTTGATTGCCTCTAGTGAATGACACCACTGAAAATATCCACAACACATGTCTAAAAGCTTGTGACCGGAAACAAATGGCAGAAGTGCGCACTCACCGACTGCGCATCGGAAATGCGCATAGATGTAACCGCCAAATGGAGTGTAAACAGCAGGTGTATGGTGGGTTTCCCTCAGAAGAATGGTCATCAAGCTTGGATGAAGTATCACTTTGCTGGATCCAGAGGTCTCCTTTAGGGATGTGTGAATACAGCTTTGATGCAGGGCTCCCTCCTCTGGATACTGGATGTACTGTGGGTATAATAGATCCTCCAATAGCCAAAAAAAAGGGGGGGGGGTGCCAATAGTGTAGTAACTTCAGGTATTTATTGAGCAAACATGGTAAAAACACAGGGTGCGGGTACAGATACAAAGTGCCAAAATAATAGAGCAGAGTACTGCAGCACTGACCCTTAAGCAAGATGGCCGCCGGACCTCCTCGCTGCCGGGACGCTTAAGGGTCAGTGCTGCAGTACTCTGCTCTATTATTTTGGCACTTTGTATCTGTACCCGCACCCTGTGTTTTTACCATGTTTGCTCAATAAATACCTGAAGTTACTACACTATTGGCACCCCCCCCCCCCTTTTTTTTTTTTTTTTTTTTTTTTGACTCCTATTGGAGGAGCTATTATACCCACAGTACATCCAGTATCCAGAGGAGGGAGTCCTGCATCAAAGCTGTATTCACACATCCCTAAAGGAGACCTCTGGATCCAGCAGAGTGATATTTCATCCAAGCTTGATGACCATTCTTCTGAGGGAAACCCACCATACACCTGCTGTTTACACTCCATTTGGCGGTTACATTTATGCGCATTTCCTATGCGCAGTCGGTGAGTGCGCACTTCTGCCATTTGTTTCCTGTCACAAGCTTTTAGACATACGTGCTGTTGTGGATATTGCCAGTGGTGTCATTCACTAGAGGCCATCGAGTGAACGAATTATTCTGAACAAACTTTTGTTTCATTTATTTATTCATCTATTTATCCTTTGTTAGCACTGCACTTCATTTACCGATTGGACTTTAAACATGTATGCTGTTTTTGTCCTTCTTGATTATATAGGGAATGATGGGATTAAAGAGGAATTTTCACCAGTATTCCCAATTACCTGCCACCAATCATTCCCTTCCCCCATTCCTTGTACATCAGTGAATCCAAAGTTGTCCTGCTGCGATCCATTGCCACATACCAGGTTCTGTGCCATCATGCCTTCTTATGATGTTGAACTGTCTTTCTAATAAAGCGCCATCAGGTCTGCTGTCCAGCCACTGTCTCCCCCTTTTCCTGCAGCTTTCTAGAATATATAACATGGAAATCCCGGGAGGCTGTAGAAGCAGGGATACATCATTTTCACCTAGGCAAGAATGGAGGAGAAGGCCAGAGTAAAAGCAATTTGTACACAAAAAACAAAAACAAAATTGTTTAATTTCATAGATGAGAGTTGTAGTGGGGAAAAGATGATAAAATATATACAGTGAAGGTCTGCTCTAATAGTTTATACAGGTAAAATAACATGGTTTTCCTTCCAGTTTATCTCACAGGTGGCAAAAAGGACACTAAATT